TCTAATATCTTAACCTAATTTTTATAGTAGTATTATTTTTGATAATGATATGGCCATTATTGAAATGAAACAACTTAAAATACTGTTCAATAAGCCAATTTATGTAGGGTTTGTAATACTTGCTTTATCAAAAATTTGCATTCATGATTTTCATTATAATTATATTATAAGAAATTTTAAAAATAATGTTAAATTATTATATACAGACACCGATAGCTCAATCTTTTATTTTACTAATGTCAACATGTATGATTGCATAAAACGCGACATTCATGAGTATAATACTTCTGATTATCCTGAAAGTAATGTTTATGGCATCCCTGTAGTCAATAAGAAAGTTCTAGGCTTGATGAGAGATGAAAATAATGAAAAAATTATGACTCAATTTATTGGGCTCAGAGCAAAAATCTCCTCTTATCTATTAAAACTCGTGACTTACTGTCAGGCAAAGAGATACAATTACTGAAACCGTTCGTGTGAATATAATTAAATATTCGTGATGTTTTCTTTTATAAAATCATAAAGATTACACTATAATAATGATAATATGAAGAAAAAATTTAAAATTATTGGAACAGCTTCCGAAAAACAATAATTAAAGCATATTAAATCAAATCGACCCATCAGAAAAGTGTAATCATTTCATTTGTTTGCTGATTTGTCGATTTTATTTTTAAAATTTTAAATGAATAAAAATAAAAATGAAATAATTTTTTACGATGTCGACTTGAGACAGCGCGCTCAGTGTATTTCTAGTATAGTTTTGAGGTTCAAAATAGAAAGGATCAACATTAAAAAGATAAAAAGAAAGCCAAAGGTGTAAAAAAGGAGTAGTTATACTAGGAGGGTTTCGAAACCACTACATCCTGTCTTACCGACGGTGTTGGCAATTCATTACCAGCGTCGATAACTTATCGACCGTGCTTAAAGTTTTCGATTTTTCCGTTAGATGCTAATGTTTAATTTAAATATTCTAGGACAATATTTTACGAAACTTATGTACTTATATTCTATTATTAAATTATTCTTGATACTTCATTTTGTACAAGTTAATAAATCCATAAATCTCACTATAAAGAGAAGGTTGAGTTGCAAAAATCAGATTTTTTATTACAATTGAACACATTTTATTTCATAATTGACAAAAACACATAATTAAATAAATTTTACATTATTTCCTTGAAATATCCACTTCCCGCCCATTCAGTGTCGTGTGTCTTCATTTGTTTCAATAAATTTAAAATTATACCAATTTCTACCAATTTATCGAAGTGATAAGTTATTTTTAACTTCCCAGTGGGAAGTTATAGTAATGGGTCCGATTTTGTGAATCCCAAATTTTGACATATCTCCACGTTTTAAGATCCCCAGAGTTGAATACGATAGTTTTTACGTAGACGTCTGTGTGTGTGTGTGTATGTACGTATGTGCGTATGTTCGTATGTTCGTACGTGCGTTCGGAATTATTTTTTGCCTCGATTATCTCGAGAACAAAAAATGATATCGACGTGGGACCAACTGCATTCGACGCGTAATTACGTAACTTAGAACTGATTAGATTTTTAGCAAAATCGGTCCAATTATTTTTTATGCAGAATCAAAAAACTGAAAAAATAGTGAACTACCTAAATTCTGCAATTTATAAATTATACCATTTTTTAGACGGAATTACGAGATCTTTTGAAAAATATGAATATCAAATGTTTAGAATAATTGTACAAAAATATGATGACAGTACTTCATAGAAAAAAAAATTTTTAAAAAACGAAATCAGCAATAAAAAAATTTTAAACTCGTGTTGAGATGGAGAAAATAGCGTTGAGGATAATAAAATAGTCAATGATTATTGTTAATAATAAGAAATTGTGTTCATAACGATTGAACATTGTCAATAACAAATGATTATCGATCATAATACTATTTGAATAAAAAATTTTTTAATTGTTATAAACAATGAAAATAAAGATCTATGCAATATATTTGAATTCTTTTAACGCGTAAATTTTTCTTTTGCTAGAAAAAAGTCCCTAACCGTACGACATGAATGGAAACTCTTTTTTTTGTTTATAACAATTAAATCTGTTATAAACAATAAAAATAGAGATCTATGCAATATATTTGAATTCCTCCAACGCGTAATTTTTTCTTTTGCTAAAAAAAAGTTAATAATGAATAAATTCGAAAGCCTATTCTAGAATGAATCGACAGTTTTTACGTGGACGTCTGTGTGTGTGTATGTGCGTTTGTGCGTATGTGCGTATGTTCGTACGTGCGTTCGGAATTATTTTTTGCCTCGATTATCTCGAGAACAAAAAATGATATCGACGTGGGACCAACTGCATTCGACGCGTAATTACGTAACTTAGAACTGAAAAAGTTTTCAGGAAAATCGGTCCAGTTATTTTTTTGGCAGAATCAAAAAACTGGAAAAAAATGGGAAATTACCTGAATTTTGCAATTTATAAATTATACTATTTTTTAGACAAAATTTCGAAATCTCTCAAAAAATATGAATATTAAATTATTAGAATACTTGTATGAAAATATGGTGACAATATTTCATCGAAAAAAAAAGTTTTGAAAAACAAAATCAGCAATGAAAGAATTTTAAACTCATGTCAGGATTGAGAAAACAGCATTAAAGACGCTATAATAGTCAATAATAATTGTCAATAATGTGGAATTGTGTTCATAACAGTTGAACATTGTTACTAACAAGTGATTATTGATCATAGTAATATTTAAATAATAAGTTTTAAATTGTTATAAACAATAAAAATAGGGATCCATTCTATATATATAAGTACTTTTAACGCATAATTTTTTCGTTTACTAAAAAAAAGTTACCAACCGTATGCCATAAATGAAAACATACTTTTTTCGTGTATAACAATGAAATTCGTTGTAAATAATGAAAAAAAGGATCTATGAGGTATATTCGAATTCTTCTAACGCACAATTTTTTCTTTAACTGAAATAAAGTAACTAACCATATCAAATGAATAAAAACAGACTCGTTCCGTTTATAACAATTCCATTTGTTATAAAAAATGGAAACGGGTTTTATTCGAGGTGTTTTTTCATTTTTTCCACTGGGAAGTTGGTCGTGTGGACCTTTCGGGTCGCACCCAGATCACTGCAGAGCACTGATATTTTATTTGAAAATTTACTTTAATTTAACAGCGCTATTTTAGCTTTATCATGTAATCCATATACATTAATCGAAATGTTATTGTTTGATTCGAATTTTGGAATATCGTGTAAAGTTGTTGGACAATTTATACCTTTATACTTGAGAACTGTCCTATAATCTGGATATGATGATGTATTGTTGGGATGACTTTCAGTTGGAAAGAATGCTGCTGTAATTGACCATAGGAAACAGCATTGATCTTTATTCTTGATATTTAACACCGCCTTTCTATGTTGAATAAAATCGGGTAAATCAATAAACGTCGATCCTCCTGCAGATAATAGATCATATCGACTGATGTTGACTTGGAGATGGATGATCTCTACCATAGACCATCCTGAATCACGCTCTTCAAAGTCTTTAACTTTCGATAATAAAACATCAATTATTTGCGCTTGAAGAATTTCATTTATATTGCTTGATGGCATAAATAGTTCATTCTTTGTAGTGTGTTGAGAAAATCTCAACTTGTGAATTAACCTAACCGTTTAAGGATAGGGATGATTGTCCCGGAACAGAGCAAACGGAAGTCAGGTTTTATAAAAAATAAAGTATCTTTATTTTCAGCACTAACAGGTACACTAAATACATTGACAAACTTTTTGTTATTAAATAGGGAGACTGAATGTCGCTCAAAATCACTGAATGTCTATTTTAATTACTGAATCTGAATTGAATGTCCAAAAAATACTCAACTTGGTGTGTTCGGTATTATTGACCTCCCACACGAGCTCAGCACGCTTCTCAAGTTGAGCAAGAATGTGATTGTGCACGTGGCGTTAGCCTATCAATGCAATGCAAAATGAATATAATGAAATGTCTTGAAATATTACTTGATTCTAGTTTTAGAATGAAGCCTGAATGTTCCTGATGATTTACAATAGCACTAGTACTGATGATTGACTCAAAACTTTCAGATTTGTTAAGAAAGAATATAAATGGCGTGTAGACGTGAACGAGAACAGTGAAAAAATGGCGACAGGAACTTCATTAGTCAAAAGGGACACTGAAAATTAGTCAAATGATTGACTAAATTAAGAATTATTGATTACTTGGTCGATTGGTTATCGACCCAGTACCAAGATGGCCGCCGAAGTTCCTGTCAGCTAGCAAATTCAAACTGAGAATTAATTAATTCTCATCATTGTGAAATGCTTGATTTCTTCATTAGATTGCTCATTTTTTATAGTGTTGAATTTGCATGCCAAAGAAAAATTCACTTATATGTTATCATTACCATCAATAATATTTTTAAATTTTCGATGAAGAATTAATTTTCCATACTGTTCCATCGCGTAATTCATATAAAATTGTTATCAAATATGAGTAGATCTGATGCATATTATTTACGAACATCACATTCAAACTTGATAACAATAAATCATTAGATGGTAACGTTTTTTCACTGTTCTCTTAAAAAATTAAATTGTAACTATGTAATAATGATAGTTAGAACAGTTTTTTAACCATGAAACTATCATCATTTTATGCACTATTTACTATTTTATATTGGAAGATTTATCAACTTACGTTGTAATAATTATCGCATATTTAAAAGGTTATTATCACAATTTTTATGAGCAAAGCGACATCATATTACGCCACGTTGTAAAATTTTATCGGCTTTTCTAGTAAAATTTATAATGTCCTTTTTTCCGTAAACGAGTCGTATTTGGTATAAAAAACTATTTTTCACCGTGTAAGCATAATATGGGTCGAATTAAATAGCTACTAACGACATTGAGTTCGCGATTCGATAGATTATTTGGAGTAGCCATCGACTAACTCGTATACAATCTGCTCTTACCTGTCAAAAACATCTCGAACCGCTTCTTCACTGGCACCAATATATTTCGATAACAATTCAGGGCCCTGATCATGAAAGAAATGAATTAAACAGTGAATTCAATTTTATGAAAAATGTCAAAGAAAAACTTTCAGGTTTGAATATAACAATTTGGTCTTATTGGTATGATTTCATGCATTAATAAATCTTAATTTTATTTATATTTTCTCAATGCTTAAAATCTGATTAACAGCAGAACAGTGTTATTCGTTTTATTTTCTTCGTACTAGACATTTATGCCCTGCTTAAACATTCTCATTGAAAAAGAATAAATTCTATAGGCTTTTTCAAAATTTGTATAGGAAACATCGTATTTGAATTGGAAAAGTTGAGAAATTTCTGCTACTCGCAGAAAGCCTAATAGGATTATGCAAATCTAAATAGGTATATAAATGGTGATCGAAAAACCTATAGGATTCAGAACTTTCCTATTCAAACAACTTAATAGGATTATAATAGTTCTAAAAGGTAGTTAGCAATTCTTTAAGGAACGAAGAGTTTCTACAGGAAATGATAGAAGATATTTGAATCGAAAACTGAGTGATCGAATAGGATCATACGACTCGAAAATTTTTTTAATCATCAATGAAATCTCAATAGGATTTTGCATTATTCAACAGGTTTGACTTCTTCAAAATCCAATAGGAGATGAATAGATCTCAATCACCATTATTAATCTTGCCACTTCGCTACACTTATTGAAAAAGTTCATATCACAGAACAATACTCTAATATTTGTCGATTTGATAAACGCTGGGTGTTTATATGTTGTAATTTACAGTATGAAAAGAGCCATAGACCAGAAACACATACCGTCACGATTGAATTTGAAGTGAGTTTAAAATATATATATGCTTTCGAATCACACAGTAAATTAGAAATCGTATAGTGCCGATTACTCCTTTTATAGAGTCATTCTTCTCAATTCATTTTATAATATATTAATGTAAAACAAAAAAGCGTTGTCGTCCTTGTTTTTTGAAACGATTGATGTTATAAATATATTATACGAAGAGCGTACGACACGTACACGGAGAAAAAATTCCAATAAAAATTACCGTGCTCAGCACAACAATCCACGCGCAAATGTCAATTCCCTAAAAAATTAAGACAACCTTCACAGAAAAATTAGTAATCCTTTTAGAATTTTTATTATAGATTGAATATTTATTAAGAAGAGTAAAAGTAAAAATTTTTATGCAGCACGGTAATATTCGATAGATATTAATTTTTATTCAAACTTTAAACAAAAATTTTTTTTCCTTCCGACAATATACGTCTTTGAGTCAATGATAAAAAGACACAGAAAATAATACTTTTTGTTGGTAAACAGAAAATTGACAAATCTGATAGTTACTCTCATAATTAGTTCAATTATAAAACAAATAAATCATCATGTTCTGCATTTAACTTCGCCAGAAGTTCAATAGCAGCACGGAGAAAATATAATCAATAAAATATTTATGTTATCACATAAATGCAACCACAATATAAAGACATCACTTTGTTTTGCCGTTGATGGCTTTCATTTTTTGTTTTTAAGTTGGTTCAAATAAGTATGGCAGAATTTTCCATGCTAATATTCTTTCCGGTATGTCTTAGTCGTTTTCGGATTGTTTAAAAATCATGTGTTTTCTCTCATAAAATAAGAATTCTGTCACTATCATCAACTGTTAGGGAATTCAGCTCTTCGATGAACTGTTTAGAACTCTCCTCTATTACTAAATTAGATTCTTTAACCTCTTTATCGTTTATCAATACTATTGTTGGCTTAATCTTTTTTAACGTATTCTTCTATTTATGATACAATTTCCTAGCTTTCCTCTATCCGCATCAGGTTTGTACCCAGTTGCTTGCTTCTGTTTGCGCCATAGGCTTTGTATCTCTTTCGACCAGATTTTAAATTTGTTTCTATTAATCCTGTTGATTCAAAACAAATATGATTTTTTAAAACAATGACAATCACAGTTAAAAATAGAATCAGTATTTTGTTATATACATCATGGCGTACTAACGATAACTGTGGATTATTATGAAGTAGATGGTTAATAAATTATGGTGCCAACTCATTCGCTTTGGTGCCAATTGATGAATTTTTTAGTAAATATTTTTATTTTAGTGAACTCAAAAATAATTTGCGTAATCTCTGTGAAATTTGTTTTCTTATTTATAACTCCAAAATATTATGATTGAATATATTTTATTTGTTAATTACAAATAAAACTGCTTACACGTCCACTTGGATATGAACGTGAACACTGTGTTAGAGGTTGTTTCTGAAAAAATTCAATTTCACGGTGATAACATGTTAAAGATTCATAAAAAAAATTTATTCTTCGATTTGCTGATGTTTTGGAAGGACGGCACCTTGAGTATTAAATAATAGAATACCGTATTATTTCCTTTAAAACTATATATAAATTCTTAAACATTTTTGCAATTTAGTTATCTACGATAGTGATATATAACTAATATGATTATGAAATATTCGCTTATATGCGATGATCCTGTTAGTTTACTTCTTTCAAGAATAAATCGAAGCTAGTAACCTACCGGTTTAATTAATAATTCAACGTTATCGTATCATTATACACTTGCTTCTTAATTCATATTGCTATATTGTATATTGCGAGCTGTCAAGCTGCTTCAAACCTCTGGATAAAATAAAATTTTTTTGAGTTTCTTTATTTACATCTTAGAAGTAACAGAACTTATTTCAATAATCTTTGTACTTTTTATTAATCTTTAATATTTTTAATAACACACTAATGATATTGCAACATAAATAAGCTCAGTAAGCACGAATCGGAAAGAAGAACGCCTTTAAAGATTGAAATAGTGGAACGTACTTAATTTTACTCATAATTTTGATAAAACTATACATTTTTTATTTAAAAAATCAATTAACTATTTTTATTTAACTGGATAAAATTTAGATCACAAAACAGAATTGTTTATCAACTTAAATCCGTTAAAGAATAAAAAATTTTTAAATAACTCTGATCATTTTTGTGCATTCTACACGGAGAAAAAATTCTGTTAATTTTTATTTAAAAATCCATACAAAAATTACCGTGCTGCTCAAGAATGTGAGTTCACACTTACTGAAAAGTAAAAAGTAATGATCGACATACAAAAATTAAAAGTTACATAAGAAAATGTATCAATCAGTTTTTTGAAAATTACTTTGGCAGCACCGGAAAATTGAGTAACGTTAGCTGTGATAACTACATTACTGACAAACAATTTCATTTAAGTTTAGTGATAATTTTTTTGGTTATATAAACAAATAAATAAATTAATTAAGTTCATTGATAATTAACTTTCTTAACTAATTAATTCGTTGGAATGAATACGGCACACCGTTTTACAATCCTGCCCCACTCCCTATCTCTACGATCGGGATCTTACGCAGATAACCTGTGTCGTCGATACAACCACCCGGCTCTCCGAAGAAATCTTCCTCCCGCTCACAGTGGTCCGAAAGAAATCGTATAAATGCCTTTTTTTCGGCCGGGACTCGAACCCGCGACTCATCGTGCGTCAAGCTGATGCTTACCCATGAGTCCACCGCATCAATCGGTTTAAGTTTATAATAAATTGTAATGATATAACGTGTTGCCGCCAATATTAAATCGTAACGAAAAATATGAATGTCTTCTTTGTTTACAGTATGGAAAAAGTAACTATAGCACTGAAGGTGTTCATACAATCAAAAACAAAAGCCATAAGATGTACGCATGCGTACAAACCAATTTTTAACTTATTATGATGTTAGTCTGCACGCGTACGTCTTAAATTGTATGTTACGGCTAATGTTTTTGAATGTGTGAACGGTCAGAACCTACGGGTAACCCTCCTACGGGAGAGGGCGCAAGAAAAGCCGGCGACATGGCTGGCCCTTCTACGCAGGAATAACTTCTTTCTACGCTCCCGCATCCGAAATCCTATTCCCAACACGCGAAATCGAACGGCGCCGAAATCCCTGTGATATCGGGGCTGTTAAAGATTTCGCAGACTAACTTGCATCACTGCTACACGGCCGCGCTACATTGTCGAGATCTGGCGGTGAAGCACACAGATGTTTCCCTGATGCAAGAACCTTATTGCAGGGAGGGAGAGGTCTTGAAAGGAGACGCCAAAGGCGGATCTTTTATAAGCAGTAAAGGTGATAGGGACCCTAGGGCATGCGTTTTCGTGAGACGAGAACTAAACCCTGTGGGGCTCAGCCAATACTGCACAAGGGATCAGGCGGCAGTACAGGTGAAAATAGAGCTGGGGAGGGAGCCGATTAAAGTCGTTATCGGCTCGGCATACCTCCCTTATGACTCTGTTGAATCACCACCCACTGAGGAGGTCAAACGACTCGTGGAGTACTGCCGAAGGACGAACTGTGAGCTCATACTAGGATGTGATGCCAACGCTCATCACACCTTCTGGGGCAGCAGTGACACTAACGAGAGAGGGGCTAGCTTTCTGGAATACCTCACTCGGCACGGCCTGGAAGTCCTGAACAGAGGGCACAAACCTACGTTTGTTACCTCGGTCAGGCAGGAGGTCATCGACATAACTGTCGCTACGGCGAAAATCTATGATTTTGTCAGGAAGTGGGAGGTGGATGAAGAGGAAACTCTGTCGGACCACCGGCGCATTAATTTCACTCTAACAAGGGAGGTGGGAAATGTGGAACCGCAACTCCGTTGGGACCCAAAAAGTGCTGACTGGAGCCTGTTTAAGCAGGAACTAGAAAGACTCATGGTGGAACAGGGAGCTTGAAAAGGCTCGCAGGGAAATCAGGAGACTCTTCATCAGGGCAAAAAAGCTCAAGACGAATCAGATATGGACTGAATACAAAACCTCTCGGAGGAGATTCAGGTCTATGATCAAGTCAGTAAAAAGGCAAGCCTGGAGAAGCTTTTGCGAGAGACTAGAGGCCCTACCTGAGGTAGCCGAAATCCGCAAGCTGATTACTCCCGGCAGGAACGTGGCGCTCCGAGGCCTAGAATCTCCGGAAGGAGAGATGGTC